TAGTCGTTTTCCAAGAATTAATCAACTGATTAATGCGCGAAAATGATTGCGTCGATCAGTACAAGCATTGTACAATAATTCGGAACCATACTAACACCATTCGGTCTCAAAGATACATTTGTATAACTTGGAACGAGAGGAGTAAGATGAAACTATTGACACTGCATATACAGTTTGGAGTTTTGCAAAAGAAACATACGGCTCGTTGTGCCAAACTTATGAAGGTATCGAAAAGTTATATACTCCAATGTGACCACAATATGCTTCTCCTAAAAATGGGAAAACAGGAAGATGTCTGAACAATCAGACAATGAAAGAAAAATCATTTCGGTGTCTAGCATACATATTTAATATGCTATGAAATGACGAAATATGTAACTGAAATGTATTTTCCGTAAGTTGCTAAATCTGAAACAAACTCATTTATTGGATTTGGTATATGAAAGAAACAGGCATCTTTAAAACGAGAACATTATATATGTCGGAGATGGAAGGACAGCGGGATTGCCGTCGGGAATGCTGGGAAAACACCCAATACCATAATCAAGATTTGTATGTATAAGCAATAAAAATAAGAAAATAACTTTTTATGTTCCAACCGGGTTTATGGTGACCTAATGGGTCACTGGACGTAGCCACGAGCACGGGAGGGACGCGTACCTGACAGAGATACGGAATGATTATATGACTCTCCTTAAAAACAAGGATTGACCCCAGAAGTGGGGACAGGAAAATATAAGGACAGTCTCATTAGGATGCAGAGGGCTTTTGTGAGTGAGTCGTTGTACGAAGTGTGGACCGAGTTATCGAGAAGTTACCTGACCCGATTATTACACGGATACTTGCCATCCCGTGTGTCGTGGATTCGTCAACAAATCCGGAGCCATCGTCATTTGCGTCGGGAGTACCTAATTGTCGTGAGTAAACGCGCTGATTGTCACAATCACCTTATCACACTAAATCGCACCCGCGTCGTACCGCATCCATGGATAATCACCGAGGAGACACCTCGGCCGCCCCCAACCTTACACCCGATGACACTCCGACATATATGTCGGAGATGAAAAGGAAACCGGAGCCTTCCCTTTGCAATTTTGGAAGAGTTCTCTGATGGTTTAGCCTAGATTTTATCATAGCTGTAATTAAGCAATTGTTGTCATTCGATCTGATTGTAATTGTTCGAGACTTGTAATAGCGAGGTGACAATTCGTCGCCGAACGTAGTCACGGTCACGGGATGAACGTTTTGCCTGACAGAAGTGTGGAGCGGCTGTATGGTTCTCCCTAGAAATGTGGTTGTGGCGGCATACGGCCTCAAGAACGGGCCTGACCACATGGAATTGTACTTTGGAGGTGTCGATATAATGGGACACACGTTGTATTAATAATCAAACTTCAGACAGAAACTGCCTAGCAACGGCGTTTGGAACTGTTTCGATGCTTCCAACGAGTGTATATCAAACTTTAGACAGAAACTGCCTAGCAACAGCGATTGGAACCTTCTCGATACTTCCAACGAGCATATAACAAACAAAATGCAATCGTACAGCGAGAACGATTTCCATCAGATTATTATTCGTATAGGCGTGTGATCGCCTTGGAAAGTGATACATCGAGCAGTTTACCGAGCGTCTCAGCAATCGTATTTTTGTGCCTAAAATTATTCGATGCATAGTAAAGAGTTATCCCGTTGACCGTGGATTCGTTTGAACCCAAGAACATTCTTAATAGCGTTCATTAAACTCATTATTCGTTAAATTTATTATTCGTAAAACATATTATTCGTTAACCTCATTATTCGATAAACTTATTATTCGTCAAACTTATTATTTGTTAATCTTATTATTCGTTAAACTCAATATTCATTATACTTTGTAAAGTCCTGTATATACGCGTAAATATAATCTCTGTTTTGTAATACGATGGCTAATTCAAACGAAGAATCCCTACGCGCCCTAAATTCTAATGTTAATCCGACATATACATGAAAAATAAACTACTAATAATGGTCAATTATAGATCAAATTACTCTTGATTAAGTTTTAGCAAAAATGGAGAATCATTTGTATCTTTTTAATCGAAACTAGGGTTACGTTGAAAAGGAAAATGTTAAGTAATTGAATTTAAACTGAATTAAAACTTGAAAATTTAATTTAAATAATTAAGATGAGAGAAAACCCGATTATTCTAAAATCACTTGCTTTGTCTTTTAACTTTTAACAGTATCTGTTATTTCCTACAACAACATAGTGACTTGCAACATATTGAACCGAAAGATATGCACATATATCATTTTGTTCAGAATTTTTGTTACAAACGAACGGTGATCGCGAATGAACTTTTGTTTCATGCAAATGACATTCGAATATTTATAAAATTCTACATTACTGTTAAAAGATTCAAAATATCGCGATCGAAAAAATTCTAAAACCTGTGCTTCTAAGAACGAACAATCACCGGCATTCATTCTAATAGCAATGAATTAAATTTTAAAAAATATTTCGAGCCTTCATACCAACATTAAGATATTTCATTATAATACTTTGTTGCGCATGAAATCGCACACAATACACATATTACGTTCGTAATAAAGTTCTGTATTTCAGCAGTCATGGTATCTTTAACGCTGACAAAGGAATATGTCTTATAGCAGTATTTTCAGTAATAAACGTAGTAATAAGGAGCGCATTAATAAGGGGTGCTGAAAAAGAAATATCGCAGTAGCCACAAGGGCTACTAAAATTCGATCGTGTTCCATTCTATATGTCGGAGATGAAAAGAACACCGGAGCCTTTGGAATTTTGGATCATCCCGCAATATTGTAATCTAGAGTCTACTATAGCTGTAACTCAACAATTGTAGTTATTCAATCCGATTGTAATTGTTCGCGAGTTGTGATAATGAGCTTGGGCTCCAGGCGATAGCCAGTCGCCGAACGTAGCCGCGGTCACGGGATGAACGCTTTGTCTAATTGTCTAACAAAGGTATGGAGTAATTCTATAGCTCTCCTTAAAAGAAATATTCGTGGCGACACGCGACAGTAAACATTCCAACGGTTTCTGTCCCGTCGCTCGCCACACGCAGACCCTATTCTTCGAGTAAGATGATTGCCAGATGTCGATGCGTCTCGGCAGTACATGTTCAGCTAGCTCGATGGCCCGTTGTAAATCTTAAGATTTAGTCAACAAAGTCCTTCAAACAGACAAACGGTCTTTGTCCCAACTACGGGAAAATAGGGGAGACATATTTTTCAAGGAGCGGCGTCTCCCACTAGCAACTTTCCGTCGAGGGCGGCTAGCATCTTTTTCTAACCATCGATATGGAGATTGACCAATTAGCGGCAACGCCAAATTCCCTTACTTTTTGAACGAAGGCTTTTCTCGACGAATCCGATGATCTCGTGTCCTTAGACACCCCCCATTATAGTTTTCCTCTGTGGCATCATCGGGACGGGAAAGGCATTCTCGTTCGCGATCTCACTGATGAAAGGAGTAACCCTTTACGACCAGTGAA